TGCACTTGTCTTCAGGTGCTGACATTTTTCTTGTTCAGCAATGAAGTTTAAATCCAACATCGGCTAAAATTCATTGTCTTCCATGTTTCAGGGATGTATTTTGTAGCTGCGTTGGTCTGAGACAGAAATGCAAGACTCCGAATTTTAGCCGATTTTGGTGAACGACAAGAAAGATGTCTACACCTCCCTGCCCATCTGCCATCTGACACCACCAGGGAAGGAGAGTGTCTTATCTGCACATCAAAGAGCAACTCAGAAAGACACTCGTGGACCCAGAGAAACAGACTTCCACCTTCATCTTCCTTTGTGCAAAAATGATGCTTATTTTTTACCTAGGGGGACTATTTACTGTCTTTAATTTTCCCTGAGCCTGAGGAAGGGTGTGCGCGCCTAAAAGCTTACAGAAAAAGATTTTTTTTTGTGTGATTTCTTAGTTGGTCTAATAAAAGGTATCATCTCTGAACCAAGAATTCTAGAGTTTTGCATTTCTCTTAATAACAATAATCTCACTCTTATTTTTATCAAGAAAAAATAGTATATGTGTTTAGGTGATTGTTCAGTATGACATTCAAGCATTCAAAAAACACAAAGATTCAGAAATATGAAAGTGCTGCACAAAAGGCTGTTTATGAAATAGCAATTGGAAGTCATTTTAAACAGGAGCATATCTGAATTCTTCCACAAATATCTCCAGGTTCAGTTCTGAAGTCAAATCACTTCCATGCAATAAGAGAATTAAATTCCTTTTTCTTTTATGGGTCAGATATATCCTTTTGTATGATAAAATTATCTTTAAACAATAAAAACTACAGTCTGGTGCTCAAATACAGAATAATGCTGTCAATTTTATTTAAAATACATGGAAAGACCTTTAATTCTTGGCAGCTCCTAGAACTTCAATTTCTTTGCAATTTCTCTTGTCTGTCCATGGTTTAAATACAGGTATTTCAATTTTCTCCTTCTCAATATCTAATCTAAAAAGGCAATTCAAGTATTTAGGGGGTGTGTCTACACACATGCACTTTAATGTGCAGGTATTAAATTAAATGCACCATAGCAAAAGCGCATTAATGAACATGTAGACGCACCCAGGGATTCCAATTTCAAGAAAATGAGAGAGGTGTGGAACATTACTTTGAAGATTTTGCAGAATGTTGTATGACTTGTTCTCAGACAATTTCCTTTGCACTTTGCCACTGATTTCAATCAATTCTGAGGCTACTGAACCTTATTCATACATTAGAATCTTGGGAAGTGCTTGGTGACTACAGAACCTAGGTATTTTTTGAGCAATACCCTGGCTCTTTTAGTGGCATACCTTAATTATTTGCATCCTTCAAAAAGGGTGCTTAAATGAAATCTCTGAGAAAATCTTCAGACTTTCTTTTTTGAAGGCCATCATAGGCAACACTAATCAATTCAGCTCCTTTAAAAAGATGCATCAATTCCTTTTGAAGGTAATTGTTACAGAGGCAAAAAACTTTCAAAATCACTCATATGCACAGCATGGAACAAGAATCTGGACAATTCTGTTAATTCTAATAGCCCTCCTGCTTCATTGGACAGATTGCCATACTGCTTCACACAGTTTGACAAAATACTCTGATTATCTTCTAAATTACAGAGGAGATTTTTTTAGGTGATCAGTCCATCTTGTGAGTCTACAAGTCTTTGCAGGTGCTGGCTGTTCTACAGGCTCTTCGTGGCTCAGAAAAATGCATATAGAGAGAGTGTGAGAACATACCTGCCAGTGCTCAGTTCTTCTCACCCGCACATCAGATGTAAGTGGTGAACTATTGCAGATGTATCAATCAGCTTTGTCACTAAAGGCAGCAATCAACACGTCCAGCTAAACCAGTAATGAGATCCATTTAAACAGAGCACAAGGCCTGAAAGGAGATGACTACACATTAAATAATCCAAATATATCATAGCCTTATCTTAAAACATTAGTGGCAGTAATTGATACAACAAAATGTATTAGATGCTGTTCTGCTATAACTTACACATTTTTGTCAAGATTCTTAGGCAAGTTGTAAAAACAAATCAGTTTTGTGTACAAAGACGATCAATTCTGGGGAAGAGAAAAATAGGATGGTGTCAAGCAGTATTCAAAGATGGTGAAGGAAAAAGATGAGGAATCCTTCCTTCAGGAGTGTAACTTTCACAGGAACAGAAATCCCAACTGACTGATGCTGTTCACATCCACAAGAAAACTGGTTAAGTTCAAGTCCAAACATTTAAATGAAACAAAGAAATGTAAATAAAACCAATCAGAAAACATTTATTAGAATATTAGAATAAACCATCTATAAATATTGGGTATAGGCTGGAGGGAAATTGAAGAATTCAGCAAGTTCAAGACCTGCTGCCAATCTCCACCCTCTTTCCACCTCATTAATTTCCCCAGTTGGTATAGGTAAGAATCTATCTTGCGCTGTCACGGATAACCTGATAAACTTTGAGATAACTTTTTATTTTTGTGTTTTGAGGTATAAGTAATAAAAGGTCAGGCTATAAACCTGTTTCTTGCCTCTTCGTAGTTTCATAGTTTCTAGGGTCGGAAGGGACCTGAGTAGATCATCTAGTCCAACCCCCTGCCATGGCAGGAAAGAGTACTGGGGTCAAACGACCCCAGCAAGGTGTTCATCTAACCTCCTCTTAAAAACCCCCAGGGTAGGAGCCTGCACCACTTCTCTTGGAAGTTGGTTCCAGA